CGTGATTTAGGCGAGGGGGTGTTCCTTTGATCGTAATAAAGTGAGAAAAGGTTTAGAGTGGTGAAATGGAGATGGGGAGGTTTTGTTGATTTGGTGAGGGACAAGAAAGGGAAGAGCTGAAGGATGAAACGAGGAGCTTGACTGTGAAAGGATAGAAAGAAAATGAAAGAGTTATGGAAAGAAAGGAGGGCAAGCTCAAAAGGGGAGGTGGAGAGATAGAGAAGGTGTGTAAGAGGTTGAAGAGGGAAAGGGAAGGGAGTAGGGAAAGAAGGGGAGAAGAAAAAACGTTAGAGGAATTAGAAATATAACGAGAGCAGAAAAATATGTACAGAAATGATAACAGACGCAAAATAAAGCAAGAAAAAAAAGGAGGTTGATGAACTCAAGAGGGGAAATGGAGAGACATAGAAGGTGTATAAAAAGGTGAAAAGAGAATAGGAAGGGAGCGGGGAAAGAAGGGTAGGAAAAGGGGTGATGATTGATGTTATCTATATGAGATGTGAAACAATCTCAGCCAATATATAATGCACTATCAAAATTTATACAACAGTAAACACTTTTTATTTCAAATATAAGATCATGCTTACATTAACTCTATCCCGCTAAAAAAAAGTGCTAATATCATATGCTTTAGAAGTTATGTCTATAGTATACACAATGGTTAATAATGTGACTGATTGCTATTACTCAAATAGGGTAACAAATAAGGACAATCCTCAACATGAATACGTTACACGAGGCTCCTAGCTAAGGGCTTCCCATACCCTCTCTGGAGAACATTTCACCCCACTCCGTTGGTAAAATTTCTTGATAGATTATTCTTTGAGACTATATACTAAACAGGAGCTGGTCCAGGAATTCTAAAGAGAACATAATGTTTCGGAAAACTCCCTCAAGCAAAGAAATAGATATTCATGTTTTAGCTGCTGATTTACTTTCACAATATCAGACAAGCAAAACTGATGATAATAAAGGTTATCATAATTGTGGGTCTAACATTTGAAAGAGGGCACATTTTTCTTGTACTTACTGGTATGCACACTTGCGTGTATAATAGGGGAACGGGGCAGTAGTACACCCCCCCCCCCCCTTTCTTGTTTTTATTCGTATGAGGGAAATATGGCGAGGGCAAGGAATGCAAATAGATAAAGATCAAATGACTTTGTCGAAGTGCAAGTATGCGGAAATTATTAATGAGTAACTCTATACCGAAGATGCTTCCAAGTGCAAGTCAGTTCATTAACGAATTATGATACTTTCTACAGCTGTTAATATAGATGACCAGTCCTAGTCGTAAATAGTGATATTGACGAGTTAATCTAGGTGCATGGTCAGTGACTTTAGCATTGGTCCGAGTAATTCGAAAAACTTATGAAGTATTCCTTCTAAAGTATTTCTTCAACTAGAGGTCAACGTAAATCTTCCGGTATAAGATGTCATATCTACTGGCCAGTAACAGACCATATTTATTTTTTTACTTGTATTAAAGCATTAGTTTCTGTTTAATATATTGTTGTCATTTGTAGTTATGCCCCCCCCCCCCCCCCTAAAAAAAAGGTCCCTTTGGTGTTTATTGATCATCATCTTTTTATCTGTCTTTTAGTTTTGTCTGAAAATCTTAACGTAATAAACTAACCCTTTTGTTCATTTTGGAATATCAGTATTGGATTCGTAAAGCGATTTTGATTAAGCTTAGCTATCGCAAATAGGCGCTTAAGAATCCAAGTAATTCTTGTCAGGTAAGCCTACTAGGCCTATACAGATTCATGTCTTTTCAAGGGGCGTTAGAAGTCTGGCCATGGCAGCTGTATTTTAGATTCTGGTTTGTAACTTTTCATAAATAACCCTCTCCATTTAGATTCCCATTTCGGTACGGACTTTCCCTTCAAGCCCCCTTTGTCAGTGGTGAAGCCATTCTGACCCTAATCATGACGAGTGAGAGATGGGGAGGGGAAACAAAAAGAAAAGTTGGAAGCAACGTGAAATTTAAAGTGATAAGAAAATGGTTCGCCCTCACTCGATAGCCTTCTTTTATCGCATTAAACAAACCTAGAAGGACCGGTGTCCCCCCCCCCCCCATCCCCCCTCTTCTGTGTGTGTCCCTCATTTGCCGGCCCCTCGTTATAACACTGCTCCTTTTTATCTCCTCTGTCCTATGATATCTTCATGACTTTATTCAATTTTTCTAATCTCCATTCTTTTCTTATTAGCCATTCTACTTCTCTAAACTTTCATTTCCTTGACGATCATCTCTCTCTGATCTTAATTCCCATCACTGTACAGATCAGTCCAAGTTGTGCGTGATCATAAAACCGCAATATTCACATATTAATCGGATTTCAAAACAAGATGCGACATTTAATACTGCCAAGTCATATCATAAAGATCATCAATGCCATTGCTCGTTACGTTAACCGCGTAAATGATAACAAAACGCTTACGAAACCGACAGATGAAATCCCTCATACATGTAGATTGAAAACTATATTAATAAGGAGCTTACTTGGATACATTGCAAGGCTATTCTTTTTCTGCATTTTGAACAAATTGTTTGAAGCATTATTTCCAACCTATTTCATAGATAATTGATAGTTGTATTTAGGAACACTGAGATCATTCAAATTTATCAAGTGTATTATAATGTGAAAGAGGATGTCAATTAAGACACATTTTTGCAAGGAGTGTCATAAACAAATGTGTTTGAAGTCGAATATTGATGAAAGAATACAAAAGTTAGGTTTTTTGCATACAACAGAAAACCCAAATTACATACTTTTATCGATATTTGTCTTCATAGACATTTGGGGGGATCTTTGCAGAAGTGTGTCTCAAGCGACATCCTCTCACACATTACGATACAATCAAGGTAAAATTTTACCATCAAATTGTTGGCGAATTGGGGCTCCCAACATTTTAGAGGGGCTTTAAGAAATCTGTAGATATTGATTGGGGCACATTGGAGGTCTTTGCAAGTACTACGTTATTCATCGGAGTAAAATAAGGATATTGTTGTGGTTTCTTCATCTGCTTATCCCTTCTTTCTCTTCTTCTTCTATTTATCTTTATCTTTAAGTTGCTTTTTCTATTTCTTCTTCCTTCCCTCTCCAATTCCATTTCTCTGTCACTGTCTCTCTCCCCCCCCCCTCTTTTTCTTTATCCGTTGTCTTTCTGGTTTTGTTTGTTTGTTAGTTCATTTGCTTTTTGTTTGCGCCATTCGATTGGAGGACACGTGTCCACCCCCCCCCCCCTTAAACCCCTGACTTTAACTACACCATGGCACATACTAGAGAATATCTGAAAAATTACGACTGACAGGGAATAGTGTCGATTGAATTAATATTAACCTGCCGACAGAGCACCTAGGAACAAATTACCATGCTGACAAACGATCATCTTTCTGCGTCTATTATTATTAATGTCTTAAACATGACCTAGGCACCTTTCGGCGGATAACATATCACTATCTTAATTCACCTATATGCTCAGACTCCGGGCTCGCACACACTTGAACTTGGACATAATCAAGTAAACATTCTTTTCCGCCAACTAAAATTAAAATCACTTGAACACGTGGGATCGCTACCATGAGTGAAATATCAATTCACCGACGAATAAATCTCCATAGCGACATCGACCATGACATTACCATAGAAAGCGCCATCATGCAGGCCCGAGGCTTTCATTTGATTTACAAATTGACTCTTCTGAATCGAATACATTTCAGCATTTCATGTAGTCAAGAACATTCAAAAGGTGTATCATTACATAGATTTTTGTAATCCAAATATCCTCATAAATAAAATATGGAGTACATCCGGACATCAAGACTGTTCTCAGAAGCAGACTTAATTTAGGATAGGTTAAATATCGCTAACATGCGTGACGATCGTCCAACACTTTTTGGATTTCTGTCAATACAACTTTAGTCTCTACAAATCACCATAATTTTGTAACTGAATGTAAAATGATACAAAATCTTATCTTTATAAAATGTTTTCCTTGGTTTCAATTCATGACCTATTCATTTTAATTCCTCATCTCTCACATAAAATACAGTAATTTATACGAAAATATAGGGATTGACAATGTCCTTAAATCAATGTCATGTACCAAGACGAGCCTCACTTTCTAATGAAACTACTGAACATGTGGAGTCAGCTGCAACTGTACTTCACATATTACTTAAAATGAGCATACCTTCTAGGCTTATATATATATATTTTTTTAAATACCTTTAGGTGAGTTAGTATCCCATTTCATTTGTAAATGCAACTAATTCACACTCTGACTCACTTTATAAACTTATAATCTACTTATCTCATCATGCATTTCTTTCTCTCTCTCCTACCCCTCCCTCTTTCTCTTCTCCCTCCATTTCTCTCTCTCTCTATCTTTCTCTCTCTCTCTCTCTCTCTCACACACACACACACACACACACACTTTTCTCTTTCTCACTGCCTCTTTCTCTCGTTCTCAATTCATGTCGCTCTTTCTCTCTTTCACTCACTTATAATCTACTTGTCTCATCATGCCAGCCTTTCTTTCTCTCTCTCTCCCTCCCTCCTTCCCTCCCCCTCTCCCCTCCCCCTTTCTTTTCTCTCTCCCTTCTCCCTCTCTCACACAGTTTCTTCTCTCTCACTGCCTCTCCCTCTCACTCACAGACACACTCCAAGCACACATAAATTATTGAAAGACTGTAAGCATCACTGTTTTCTGAGCCTCAATAATATATTAGTATGTTCTAGTTTTACAATACTCAGGAGTGAAAGATCTAAACTCTACCCATAGCAAGGGCATTAAACTGGGAGCCTGTTGTGCTGACACACTATAGAGACAGCACATTTTGGAATGTAAAGGTTGGTATAAAATGTTATGAACTTCAGTATCCCAAGTGAAAAGGTCGCTCCAAGGTGCCTGAATCTTTTATTTTCACTTGTCTCTCTCATGTGGTCCGACCATGAACACTCACTAAAAGACGAATCACATCAACAAAACAACTGTTTACATGCCATGTCATTTAATGAACGCTCATATTGCACTGTCTACAAAAATAATTCACACTGTCATTGACAATCATGTTATTTCATTTATTCATTTTTATCTTTTTAGTGAAAAAAGGCACTGTTGTTCTATCAATTTGTTTTCTCCTTTTCCTTTTTTCCTCTTGCTTTTTTTCCTTCTTCTTCTTCTCATCCTCCCCCTCCTCCTTCTTCTCCTCTTCCTTCTTTTCCATCTTCTTCTTTTCTTCCATCTCTTTCTTCTTCATCTCTTTCTCCTCCTCCTTCTACTTGTACTACGGGTGCAACATTAGATGACACTGTACCAGTCCTTGAAACATTTCATGGTAATTCATCATACTTGGCAAGAGCCATTAACCTCCATCAAAGCTTCAGAGATCCCACCTGGAAAAAGGAATATAAAAAAGGGGGAAAATATTTAATGTATGAAGATGATGCACTGTAATACATATACTCATTGATTTTTAATAGGCTAATTTGATGAAATCAAAAACAAAGGGTCTAGAAACACTTTTCGTAAACATCTCAACGATTACTTGATGAATAAGTGATTGAATTATGCAAGTACACATGTATATATTGTAAATAATCTCCATATTACATTTTTGTTGTTTTTTTTTTGTCAAAAAAATGCAATTTTTTTGTATAAATAATCTGTAGATACATGTATCTATGACTTTTTAACCTGGTATATCCTCTTCATAATTATATTTGGAGTGTAGAAATTGTGCTACGGTATTACTCAACATGTATACTTCTACTGTCAAGTTTTATTTTTTGATAATGATATATTTATTTTTGCCAAGTGTGTGCTAAGAACAGGGGCCAGACTCGACTAGCACATGTGCTATTATTTGGCTCCTTTTCATCACCTTCTATATTCTATGAGAAAAGACATATGTCTAGCATATCAATACTTTGTTAGGTTTTTCTTTAATATGATCTATAATATTCATTTATGAACATGTACCATTCACGATGTATTCAAATGTTTAATCACTGATGTTATTGATGATGAATAAATAAAATCAAATCAAATCAAATCAAATTTGGGGCTAAATCATCTCTGAGGCCAAGCCAAAGATACTGCTTTACTGGCAGGTATACAATACGAATAACAGGGTCTTCATGACATTAGAGCAAAAGATTACTTCCAAGGATGCATCCTATCTACCTCAAGGCTTTCATGATTTGTTGCTTCATCAAACTGTGGATTCAGTGATGAAGTTCATATTTTTAAAAATGGGACAAATAGATTTGAATAAAAAGTAATTAACATCAAAAGATGTCAAAATGAATTCAATTTTCATATAAAAATATACTTATTGAAGATAATAAATAGATGTGTGTAGACAGACACATACATGTATAGAGGTGTGAACAAAAAATTATATAAAAAGACGAATGAAAAACTAACTACAAAGATATGGACAGGTAAATTAATGATTTTAGATAGGCATATTTGGCAACATATACAGTGCGTCCCAGAAAAAACGAAACCGAGAATTAGCGAAGATCAGCCATAGTCGAAATAATTTATGCACGGCTGATTGTCAACGAAACAGAGTTAAGTCTTTTGTCAATTCTGCTTGTTGCTACGGCAGGCAGCCAGTGAAAATGAATTAGTTTAATCAAATTATGAAAATGCAAGCACTACTTTAAACAAACAGAACTTTGTTATTTTTTGCTCATTTTTCATGATTGAGGTGTCATATGAAAGGGCAGAAATTGAACTTTCTAGAAATGTGATTTTCTCTTTGAAATTCAGATACCTTCCGCCAAATGACTTTTTGGTTTCCTCTCTTCAAATTGATTTTAATCACTCATGCGTGAAATATGCATCATATGAGTTGCATCAAATGAAAGAAGAGGATCTAAGCTTTCCAAACATGTGTCATTTATCAATTATAATTATGACTAAGTTATGATAAAACATTGATAGTTCTCGGTTTCGTTTTTTCTGGGATGCACTGTATATATTTTTTTATTCATTATTTTATTATTATTATATATATTTTTTTTAAGGGGGAACTTTTGAAACAACACCAACCACCACTCACCCTAAATCCATTCATTTGCCTCATAGAAGGCGGGGCCTGGAGTGTACTGGTTGCTAGTAGTAACCCTAGTTGTAAACACGCCTCCATGGTGAGTGTGATGCCGTGAACCATCAGATCCTTGTTCCATTCTTGACCTAACCTGTTGGAGAAAAAAGCAGAAAGAGAGAAAATGGTCAACAATACTCAACTATGAATTTGGGTAAAAATCAAAATTAAATAGGTATACCGACATTCCACATTCACATGATAAACTTATTAACAGAAATAGAAATTGTTACCTGTATTCTTCAAATATAATCTTTATATTTCATGACGTAAAATATCATATTTTGGAGTACTTCATGTGAGATAAAGGTCAGAGGGCATTAAGTTTATAACCAAATAGTCAAAAGAGTTGAACTAGAATTTGCAAAGCCATACCATTAGCAAGATATCAATTTTCCCAACACAATGATAATGGGTATCCAGGCTGCTTCTCTGTTTAGACAGTGCTAACATAACTGACCTTGATCTAGACATTTTTAAGGTGATTAAAGACTGTTATTGATATCTCTACATTGACGTCATCTACATGTGGCATTACCTTAGCTTACTGCAATCATTCTTAATTACCAGACAATTAGGCATATGCTGATGTCATTAGACCCAGCTACTTATTGTGTTAAGTTATAATAAGAACGCAAGACCTTTGTGGAGAGTAGGAACACTGGATAATTACCTTATAGAAGTGTCAAGGGGTTTTAATTGATGTAGAAACCTGTGGGAAATAACTTGTGCAGTACACAATGGAACTAGGTTCATCAAATATTGATATAAATGAGTTTTCAAGATCCAAATTAGGGGTATATGTCTTTTTCCTATATTTTTTAATTTTTTATTATTGTTTAATTTGATCTACTAATAGGTATTTTCCAAGGGAATATTGTATACTATGCATGTGCCTGTTTCAGTTTCAGGAGGAAATAGAATATCATAAGTATTCATGGGAGGGATTTGAAAGCTCAAGGCAGAGAAGGATTTAAAAGCTTTCATGAATGACAAATTACCTTCACCTAAAAACAGATTTTTGTATGCGAGTACATAGAACATTCACAAAAAATACTTGTAAATGCATGGAAATACATGGAAATGCATGGAAATACATGGAAATACATGAAAATTCATGAAAATTCATGAAAATTCATTAGAATTCATAAATATTCATGAAAATACATGAAAACTAAAATGTTGTTGAAATGCTAGTGTCATTGAGAGTATAAGTGGGTAATACATGTATTAGATATGAGAGTTGAAGGGAAACTAAACCAACATAATAATTTTGATATTTCTGAAGGTGCAGGTAGAGAACTCACATTCAGCTGCTCTATGTTTCAATTTAAAATACGACTTCACAAGATAAATCCTGACCTTTGACCCGTGTCACTGTTGCATGTCTGATAGAGGACCTTGACGATTGGTAGACTCTTCAGCTGAACTTCTAATCTGCTGCCCTCAGGGGGTATAGGAGGGGAAGGTTGATGAAGAGATGAAGAGCCTGCTTGATCTTTGATGGTAGATGGCGCTCCTCCAAATAGAAGTCTGGTGTCTATTCCCAACAGCCATATCTGAGGAGAACAAATTTATATTTGCATTTTAAAATTATGAAATTACTGGAAGAAATCTTATCAAACAAAGCATTTCAAACAAAGCATTTCAAAATGGCACGATTACTACAAAGTTTTGACCATCTCTTTTTCGAAGTACAAAAGGAAATATGAAATCCACTCCCAGTAAGAACCCTGTAGTAATAATCTCTTAATCTTACCATACCAGAAGCTTAATTTCAGTTTACTGTTAAAAATTTTACTAGCTGGAAAAAAAAATCTTCATTTGAAATGATATTCATGTCTCATTTTTTTCTACAGATTCAGATGTACATGTATTAACAAGATGTAGAAAACAATCCCAATCATGCCTATTTTTTTTAATGCTAATATGCATCAGTAATTAGGCATTTATACCACTTAAAGAATATTGCTATTCATCCTATGTAAACTTATCATTTACTATGCGCCCTCTACCTTTTATCAATTACATATAAACTAATTGACTAATTCTTTCTATAACATAGATCACTGGATCACAGTTATTGTTATTGGTGATTAAAGGAAATCATTTTATTTCTGAAATTCTAACTCACCAGTAACCTTGGTTTATGTTCCTCTTCATCCTCAATGATATACTTGAAGGTCATCTGATTCTTGAACAGAGAAACCATCACACTGCATATTGTTTGCTGGAGAGGATTATTCCTAAGAACATAAAATGTTGCTTTTCATCATTATCATGTTACAAAATCATGTTCAGTGTTCAAAACCAACACATTTAATGTAAAGTTATATCTTTGTTTCATTATCTTTCCAATATTTTTTAATTCTGATTTTGGCAACTTCCGATTTCCAGTTGATTAATCGTTAAATATCCTTTTATCATGAACAATTCAAAAACTTAAAGGTTTTATGCATGAATGTAAACAGGTAAACAGGTAAAATCCATTTTAGTACAAACAAGCAACTCACAGTATACGCTCCTGGAACAATTGCTGGAATTCCTAGATTGAAATCTAGATGACACACAATATTTGTTTAATCCTATCTCTAAAAACTGAAGCTAAAACCTAATTGCAACCAAACCATTAACTTAAATCTTGGACGAAAATAAAGCCTGGATAAAATATTGGATCACCAACTTACATTTTATCAGAGAGATGATTTCTTTTGTGTTGGATACAGACTGCATAGCGGTAGAGCTTTGTGGTTTCTAGCTGACTGCTGCCCCCTATTGACAAGAATAAGACATGATACTTATCATCTTGTGATGAATGCTATAGAGTTAAAAACATTCACTAGAACATTTCAGTATTCTCATGACTGAAAAGTTGTAACAAATCTAGTGGTACCCATAAATTACCTTCAAACATCAGAGTTACAAAGAGCAAGCCTAAAAGTAAATCAGTTTTCACTGAACAGTTTCGCATTCGCCATAGGTTTCATTAACCCTGCTAGCATGAAAGACTCTAATGACCCTGTCTCACCAAAAGTTATATTGAAGAATTAATTATTTAAATCATTTACTCACCTGAGTTATCTATAGATCCCAGAATGTTACCACATCTCTGACACAGCACATTGAATGATTTACCAGTCTGCTGCATAACATAAGATACACAGAAGAAAATGACTATGAATGTGATATTTAAAAAAATGCAATTCTTGTAATATACATACTTAATTACACAAAATCAATGTATTTACTGCAATTGCTGGTTGAAAATATTTATGGTCATGTATCGTCTTAAATGATTAACGTCTATGTTTATGAGACGCATGCACTGCTATTACAATGTACATTTATTCATTCCATTGGAAAATTCAGATGATGATCAAAATAAAATAAGAGGGAATTGGGCAGTCTTAAAGGTAAAGACCAGTATTGGAAAAGCCCCAATTTCAAAAAATGAAATGGAAGCTCTTATTACCAATCATGTGAAAGAATATGTTTTGACTAATGCATGATGATAAAAATTTTACCGGGAAATCGCCTACTAATTGATATATTTGGTAAATTAGTTTATCCTACATGGTCTGTGAGAGATAAACGTACGTGTCGCGCACGTGTGCGTATAGTCCCATATACATCTTTCTGTGTACAGTGCTTGTAACTTTACGAAGACTTGGCCAAATTTCTTATCATTTTGATGATTCCAGAACCTTGCAGTGCACTCCAATACTTATATGCTAGCTAAATGATCAACCTTTTCTGATCGATTCCACATTTCTTTCACAATGCAATCGCATGACCATAACTGGTCTTTACCTTTAAGGCTATGGTACAGTTTACATTCTTAAGTATTACATAAGGGAATCCCACAACATCTGCTCCATGCTTTGTTTCATTACAGATGCAGACTGTGGTCTCGTTAAAGGCATCATTTTACAATGTTAAATCTGAGATGCACGGCCCTACGTGTTATCAGTGTCTGTGATATGGTGTAATATTGAAGCCCTAAAAAAAAGTTGAGCATCAAAATGATCATGAAGTGCCTCAAAAAAATAAAAATCTGTGAGTGACCGGTTTCACCATACCTATTTTCCCCAATATACTGTAGTGTTATAAAAACCATTAAAAAAACAAAAAATGGATTTGATTTCCAATCGTAAATATCTTGATAATTAAACAGGTGATCTGCTTGTAAAAGTCATGGAATTCCTGACTGACCTAAAGGTTTATAATTATGAATGCAGCATGAGCTAAATCCAGAATTTTGTTTCAGAATCTGAGACAAAGTTACTGAGTCACTTTAAGGCTAGGGTTCTGGGTTAGCAGATAACAAAAAGTATAATACAGGAAAAGGATTTTAACCTTTGGACTAAGGTATTATTGTCACTAGTGCATATGATGAAGTACAACAACTGTACACTACCTTGGTATTTGACAGACCAGTCATCTTCTTTACTTCAATCTGGACTGACCCTTTGGTCAGCATTCTTGAGTTAATCAGTAGATGAAGGTCATCCACCATGATGGATCCTTCCTCTGGGTTCAACTGTAGAGGGCTCATCTTGCCTCTTTCCTCGGCGATGACCTTGCTCTTACAGCACCACATGTCGGCGGCCATGTCGCCCCAGTCTCCTGACGGCAGTGGAAGAACCTTCTTGAAACCACTGGAACAAAATCAGAACAACAGTAATCATTATAAAACTTTTCAAATAACTGCATCATTTACACTGACAAGTATGTTGATTGGTCGTGCAGGGATCATGATTAGAAATACACGTATGTAAATAGTTATACAAGTCATTTTGAAATCTAAGGTTAGTCAAATCAAAATATATGTGTACAACTGAGCTTAGCAGTCGCCTCTTGAATAAAATTAATAACTTTTCAAGTTTTGGATGTAGATATAACCAAAATGCCGTGAACAGAATCGCGATCGTGGAGTGTTTTTAAACTTGTCCTTCCTTCGGAACAACCTTTTCCAGGTCGCAAGCTGTGTAGGCAGCGCTCAAAATACACGGAGACGGTGGGCGATTCGCCCTCGTGAGCTACATAATCGCCCCCGTCAGGTTGCTCACGGGGGCGATTGCAAAATTAAAAATCGCCCCCGTGGAATTATAGAATAAAGATTATCTTTTCTGTTATAACTTTAACACAATATTTAGTTTCAATTTTCAAACCTTAAACCAATGAAACGGAAATTAGATTAGCGTGCAAGATTTCCCGTTCTATGAATAGGCCTATTAATTATTACCGATTCAGCTTGCAGTGCAGTGCCGCCGTCAGCAGTGGTTATAGGCCTACTGCGCCGTTAGTAACGGTACGTGTGCACGCTGCCGCGCCATGTCTGCTGGAGCTGGAGGCGATCGCGCAAGGGCAGAAACATGGTCATGGAGAAGTTTTTTGTTGTGAAAGCGTAAACCCGCTAAAATCTGGTAATTTTAAATGACCAGCAAATAATGAACCACGACCAGTAAATCAATATTAGGGACTTTTAGATTTGCACGATGAGAACGTGGACTGCAACGTGTGACCTCCTTTTAAGGCACTGCCAGTGCTTAAAAGGACGTCAGATGTGAGGGGGCTGGATAAATGCACATATATTTGTTTTGGGGGGTCCAGTTTTTTGGGAACATTTTTGGGCCGACTCAGCCGGCCGGTGAATATTAAAGCGGGGGGATGCTGGAGAGGAGGACTACTGATCTATTTTATTTTTTTCAAGGGGGGGGGGGGAGTGAAGCGCCGTTTTAGCATGACTTTCTTTTTAACTCTTACTTTCACCTATCTCAGATAACCCTAAGTTTTTGGTTGCTGCTTTAGTTGATAATGCATGATTAAAATAAAGAGAGAGAGAGAGAGGGAACCACCATCATTTTGCAATGGTTCAGGGTTTGTGTAATGTACATTTGAAACCATTTCTTAGCGTCTCAACCCTAAAAAAATAGCAAAACTATTTTTGAGGAAAATCATTATACTGAACTGAATGAAGAATAATAGCTTTATATTGGCTCATACTAATACTGATACGAGCTAAAGTATTTGTATAGAGGTATTCCAAAATGACATTCTGATAATCAATATTTTGTTCTGGTATCATCATATGTATATACGCATAATACAACTGATCTCTATGATTTCTTAACGTGACATAGCTTCTTCTCCCCCTGCAAACAAAAAAGAAAACAAGGTTATTTAATAAAAGGATCATACGACAAATAATCATTGTGATTCAAATTGTTGCAAGGATTTTTTTGAATAAGCAATGCTTTTCACCAGAAACTTCTTTGAAAAAACGACTTTTACAAATCACAGCCATGCAAATCTGCCACTGTGTTGTAGGATCACTTTCAGATTAGGAGAAATGTATTCTTTAATGAGTATTTTACATTGAATGGAACGTCTCAACTCAGTAAGCATGGCAGAGATTTGTAAAAGTTGTTTTTACAAAGAAGATTCGGGTGAATAGCAGTGCTTATTCAAACAAATATTCGCATCAATTTGAATCACAATCATTATTTGTCGCTTAATCCCTTTTGATGACCTTGTTTTCTTTCTCGTTTGAAAGGGGAGAAGAAGATATGCCACGTTAAAGACATCATAAAGATCAGTGTTGTATGTGTATATATTATATACACAGGCCCCGCGGAACGTTTATCAAAATGGGGGTCTAAAGTATTTACGATCAGGTAGAGGGTAGCGAGCGTAAATTGGTGGGGGGGGGGGTCCAGAGGTTTTAGGCATTTAATTACGGTCAGAGAAGCAAAAATATTTTGATGCCGCATTTGTGTCACTGGCAGGTCAGGGGGGGGGGCGTTTTCTATTTTATTTCTTAAGGTAAAATGTACGTTACTATCCTATTTTTTACCGGTTTGTGAGGCTAGGGGGGGTGGCCGGTAGAATCGGCCCGTGGATCCGCGCCTGTCCAAAATAGCACACACACAAAATCGCCTCGCCGCTATGCGGTTCAGTAAAGAAAGGATGTAAAGGTTGCTCCGAATAATGAGGAGGAAATAATGTGCAGAACGGGAAAAAATCGAGAGAATGTCATCAGGGGATGAAAGTCAGTAACAGCTATGTAGCTTGTATGGATATTTGTATAAACAAGAGCCCCCGTCAGTACTAAAAGAGCCCCTGTGAGAAGGCTCATGGGGGCTCTTTTTTGGGGGAAGAGCCCCCGTGGACAAAAAATTAATTAGAGCCCTGTGTGTAGGATTTGTTTGGAATTTTGCTGCCACCCAGTGCCGGCCGAGACATGACAGCACAGTACAGCCGCACAAAATAGACCAGAAGGGACTAAGTCATCAAGCCATCCCAGAGTGCATTTTAAATGGGGGCATGATAGTAACGTCCAGGCATTGATTACGGAGATCCCATTAATTTAAAGGCTACATTGGTCACTACGCTTCCTATATCAAACACTCGACTAAAGGTTAGGTTCTGATATGACACAGTAAGCCACCGTCAATGAATGGAAACTGCTTGCAATAAAGGTTCAACCCGTTTTCACTTAGTTATAATACAGAAATGTGAAGCACATTTAATACATTTACATCCTTGTATATAAAACCCCGTTTTAATTGGAAAATAAAGTAGCGGTGACGTCCGGACGTTGGCTGGATGAAATTTACCCACTTCCAATTAACGTCCGGACAATATCGAGGTAAAACTCACTCTAGTCGAGCCAGGGTGATATCCTGATAAACAGCCTATTAAGACGCTCGCGGAACTGTACCCGGGTAAATCGGCGTGAAAAAAAGTATACATACACACAGCCCGCGCCAGCTGATCGCGATAAGACAGGTGCGGTTGTTTGGTAACCTACCTGGGTGAGGTTTTCGCAGATGGCTGATTAAGACGGTGTCCAAAAGCTCACCCCATGTTTTACGATCAGACCCCCCACTGTTTCTCATCGCTCAGGTGAGATCAAAAATTTCTATTAAGACGGGGCTTTAAATCCCACTGTTTACTATATCTAAATGAGGCTTTAGTATCTCACCCAGAAGGTTGAACAAGAGGCGCACCACATCTTGAGCAAGACACCTCACAGCTTGGATTTTCCAGTGCCTTGAGAAACAGGTCACCAGTCTCTTCATCCAGCTCTCCTCCCTTCTCTGGCTCTGCCTCCTGTGCTCCATTTAAATCATCAGTCTCCAGCTGGAGTCTCATCTGGATCCCTTCTCCCTGGATCCACTCCAGTCCACTACAGGATCCAGGCAGAGCTCGGAGCCCCTCGGGGAGGAGAAATGTCCATTGTTTGAGTGGTTTGTCTTGAACCAGGCTGATGGCATCTGATCTAACTTCTATGCTGTATGGTGCTTGATGGGGATTCCTGCAAATATGAGATGAGTTTAAAGGCCGTCTGTACTAGTTTAGCTAGGAGGAATTAGACCACCCAGGGAGGTCACTGACAGGTGGCAGATCTCATCAACTCAGCTCTCAATGAACATAAGAAAAAGAGGATCATGGGGACCAATGGTCACTGATTAGGCATTGTTTTCTATATAGAGGGAGCAGGTAGCTACAAGTAGTACAGTGGGCCTTTAATGTTTCTCTGTAACAAACAGTGAGCAAGCGAGCTCCCTATGGGCTTAGTATATGTGGCTGAATACTACCGATGCAATGCCGAGAAACAAAATGTACTTCCATGATTTCAATAAGAAGTGAAAATAATTCTGGAACAAACAGTCCAAAAATTTAATTTTTCTTGTTCTTAAGTGGGTGAAACCCAGCCCCTTATATTTCTCTAGAATTGAAATTTTAACACTGTCTTTTACACTGGTCAATGTTATCAGTGTTATGATCAATAGTAGGGGTTTCAGGTGATTTTTGTCTTTTATAGCTGAAGCTTAATTTCCTTCAAAAGTTGATAGAATGTAATTTTAGAAGCATAATGCAGTTTAAATTTTGAAAATCGGTCAAAGCGTTAAAGAGTTACAATTTTTTTAAGAATTATTTTTTAGGGAATTTTTTCACAGAGGTCACATGATCAAATCTTTTATTCCTATTGTTTTAAAGATGGCACCATTGTGGTACTCTTTGTATAGGAATTTGGCATGTACGTTTACAACATATTTATCAATATCTCTGAGATGCAGAATCCAACAGCGATGAAATTTTGTATATACCTCCGCAAAATACAATAGATTGTAATTAATATTTTCTTGACATTATTAATCATATTTTAAATATGCAAATTTATGCAAATTTATTCAATTATATGGAAAATGGTGATATCCCTTGAATTAAATGAGTCAGAAATCTAGTTTTCACAAATGTTATGCATATCTTTGCAAGATACAGGAATTTGTAATTCATATTTCTTGACATTAGTGTGTAATAATTAAATATGCAAATTTATGCAAATTTATGCAAATTTATTCAATTATATGGGAAATGGTGATATCCCTTGAATTAAAAGAGTCAGAAATCTAGTTTTCACAAATGTTATGCATATCTTTGCAAGATACAGGAATTTGTAATTCATATTTCTTGACATTAGTGAGTAATAATTAAATATGCAAATTTATGCGAATTTATTCAATAAAATGAAAAAACTATGATATCCCTTAAATTTAAGGAATCAGACATTTTTTTTCTCACATTATTGTGTACTTATCTTTGCAAGATACAATATATTTTAATTCAAGGTTTTTCAAATTTATACAGAAATGTAATCCTTGTTTTCAAATAAAGAAAAACAAACACATGTACAGCTTTATGCACACCGCCAAACATGAATGCTCACACACTCACTTACAAACATAACCACATACGGACAAATACACACACAATAACAATTAACAGAGACTTCCAACTTTCATACCATACAAGTTTCCAAACATATAAGTACATACAATAAAGACTAATATATTTAATGTTTGAATTTGTTCTTATTTATTTGCTATTCTTTTCTTTAAAGGTTGGTTCCATTGCATTTTCTTTGTAATTATTTTTGTTTTGTTACATCTTCTTTGCATGATAATTTGTTTTGGTTCCGTCACAACTTCTCGGGTATACTTCAATTTTCAATTTGCACCAAATTAAAATTAATTTGTTCTAGTTAAAGTTAACACTGCTCAGCTTTGACTTGTGAGATTGACTCAAATGTTACTAATCACTTGATCAGAAAATAATATTAAACAATTCATTCCTTCTTGTTCTGCTCAGCTTCGAATTTTCAGATTAACTGCTTTCAAATGTTACTAATCAGTTGATCAGAAATGAATATTAAACAATTCCTTCTTGCTCAACCTAATACTGCTCAGTTTTGAATTCTCTTTTCAAACTTTATTAATCGCTTGAGCAGAAATCAATCTTTCACAATTAATTCATTCTTCTTCAAGTCAGATAGAAGGTTGTACTCCTTGAGTTCATCCTCATCCTCATAATCAATGAAGAAGAGGGTCTTCAGGTTATCAGTCTTGTAAGAACTAATACCAGTCACCACACCATGGATCCAGACTTTCACATGTTCAATTAGGAAGACGTGTTCGATCCTCTTGCCTACAAGTAACTCTGGGTTCAGAAGAAGTTCATCCAGATATTGTTTTGATGCAATTGCTGCTCTCTTCTTCTTTTCCTCTTCTATTTTTTTGAACATCTTATTTTTCTGCTCTTGAAAGCTTTCAACTTGATCTTCAGGTGCTGTGTACTCGAAGCTGCTTCCAGCACTGCTTTCCCTTTGCTGAATTGCAGCGGCTTCTACTGGGTCAGGTTGTGGTTGGGTTTGTAGATTGTTGTGCTTCACAACATCTACTAAATGTTGCATCATCTCTCCTCTTGTAAACGGCTGCCCTTGATGAGATAGCTGGAAATGTTCTTTTGACGGACCTTGACATTTAAGGACCTTCTGTAAGAATAACAGCTGTGTGTACAGTATTCTTCTTATTTGTTCGTCTGATTTTGTGCTCTCAATGTCTCCAACCATCTCTGTTATCTTCTGCTCTGAAGTCCACACTCCACCAAGCTCAACTACTTCATTGACCAAGTCTGCTGTCGACTTCATTCTCTTTTCCTCAAGATCCTTCCTCTTTTGTGATGCCTTTTGAAGAGCTTCCCATTTCTGCTGTTTGATAGCCTTCTTCCGTTCGGCATATCTCCTAAGAACATCGTCTGAGCACTGCCTTGCCGCCTTCATATATTTCCCTCTTTCTTTCTCTGACAGAGAGTCAAGCCACTCCGGCATCTTATTGTTGGTCCACATGATGAGTGCTTCAAGAGTGGTGATTCTGGCAGAGGGTTTTTTGCGGACAAGCAGATCGAGTTGTGCAAAATCCCTCTCTCCAATCATGTTGGTGCTTGGGACATTGTGGTATGCTGCCTTGACGTCATCAGCCAGGTCCCAATACTTTCCTCCAGGTAGCTGGTCTTTGCACTGGCGTTGAAGGATGAGCAGGACAGCACAGCTTATCAACTCAAGGGCTTGGGTGGTCAGCATCTCTGCTTCAGCATCAGTACTGTCTAGGAGCTTCTTTGAGATGTCATCTCCTGTGCTAATGTTGAAGGGGCTGTCACCTGCCAGGAGAGGGGATGCGTCTTCCTTCCATACCATGAGCTTGGTTTGGAGTTGATGGAGTGGCTCATTCGTGTCGAAAATGTTGCCCGAGCTGATAATCCTTTCCCAAAGGGGCTTGATGGCAGCGATGTAAAATATGCCAAGTGCTCGTATCTCGGCCACCAAGAGCTTCTCATTGATGTCCTCTTCGATTGCCAGGAGAAGGTTGTTACGATTTTGAATCATTGAAAGAAACTCCTGAATGTGAGGAACGTGGAAATAAAGGGCGGAGGCACCTTCAAAAAGAATGTTCGCACGATTTCCAATGTAATCAACCAGATGATTCTTCGTCCCACAAGCGTTTGACAGAAAGGCTGAAAAGACATCTTCAACTCCCGACTTGTCACATCCCCGGTGATGAAAGGCCTTACTCGATATCCTGATGAGTCTTGTGGCGCCAGATTCTGATGTTTGCAATGTGTGTGCATGCCTTCCTGATGTTGTAATATCTTCAAACGCTTTCAGGGCTTTGTCCACTTCTTCAGCGAAGTTTATTAGGGGATGCATTTTACAGAAAAATTTCCCGAAGTCACTTACACAAGCTTGAACATCACCTGGAAGCTGATTCCACTGTTTGACAACTTGAGGAAGGAGGTCCTGACGAAGTGCTCTCAACCTATCATTGAATTGCGGCATGGTAGCCCCTTGATCAGTCATTGTTGACTTCACAGTTGTAACCAATTCCTTGTACATGTCTTCTTGATTACCACCCTCAAGTTGAGCGAGAGATGAAGCCAGTGTGTTGATTCTGTCCTTGAAGGCATCCATTACAGCTTCAGTATCACCTGCAGCCATCTCAACTAAGCCCATTGTTCGCGATGTCCCATCTGGCAATGTCACTTGAAAATTTTGATATTTCCGATGATGTTTGGTAGTACCATCTCCGTGAATGCAGTTTCCAAGTGCTTTTTCTGGTGTTGCTGACTTCATTGCCAGGGCAACTTCAATCGTTGCTAGATGGTTTGCTTCCACGGCCAATCTCGATACTGTCCCTGCCGAAGGGAGACGCCCGATGTTTTTTCCAGTCAAGTTTTTGATGACAGTTCTAATGACGGAAGTAACCTTCCGTAAGGACACATTCTGCGCAAGCAACTCCATGATAGTTTTGCGGATGCAGTCGTTATATCTACCATTTTCGAATGTCATGATGGTATTGTCCTCCATTAAACCTATCACTTCCTCCAATTCCTTTTCCCTCTTCTCTAGGAACGACACTCTCTCCTTCAGGTCCATCAGATCCTGCACGTCTGCACCAGATGTATGTCGTCGCCGGAGATACCTGGCTTGGTCATAGACCTTTCTCCGAGACTGGTTGATATGTTTGGAATGCGCTTCCATGGATTGCACTCTATCTTTTGATGAGCTGAGTTGGTTTCTGTTTTGTTCGAGATCTTCTTTTAACTCTTTGACGAGAGTAGATAATTCTGAATTATCATCCTTCAGCTTTGTTATGCTTTCATCTCTCCTTTTGATCCTCTTGTTAACATTCCTGGCATTTACTTTCTGAAGTTTTCCTTGACATGCTACAAGTTTTTTCTCCAATTCGAGCAGTTCTTTTTCTTTTTCTTCATACTTTTTCTTGTATGCGTTCAGTTCCTGACAAGTTGGATCGAACTCTGCAGTGATTTGCTTCATCTTCTTGCACAGGAATACAAAACTATCCTGTAGCGTGCTGAAATCAGCAATTTCTTTCTGTCTTGCTTTGCGCATGTCGAGCTCCTCCTCTAAAAACTCCAGACGATGCCTTTGGTCTTCTATTGTTCCTTCCATTCCTGCCAATTTCCGTTTCACTCCTTTGTTGTCTGTCTTGATTTCAGCGATTTGCGCTCTCATTTTCTTCTTCCTAGGTGTGTCTGGCTCCTTCAATTGCTTGCTTCTCAAGACTAAGAATTCCTTATCTAGAAGACTTGACAATTTCTGTACCTGTACAATACCTTTAGCATTTTTTTTAATATGTTTGTACTTTGTTACAACCTCTTTAACATAATTACAAACTTTATGGTCGTTAGCAGAAACACCACCTAACTTGATCAATATTCTAGCAATTCCCATATTTGACATTCTATTCTCTTTCAAGAAGTCGTACAGTTCTACTACAAGACCATTTTGCAATTTCTCCACAGTGGGCAAATCCTCCTGTCCCGTGAAGAGGTCCCGGTGAAGATCCATGGCTGTACAGTATGGCCCAATATCTGCAGGGGAAAAACATAAAAGAGAAAAGCAAACTATTAATTTATGAATCATATTATGTCATTTATTGTCAAGTCAATAGCTTTAATTTAGTAACTGAGTAATTGTTGTGTCATATGTGTATTCATTGTGATTGTTCTGCCTATTAAATTAATACAATGCTTATTTACTGATGAGGATTGGATGAACTTAAAATTTGAAAACATATGTATATTCCATTCATCATAAATCACAGATTCCAAATAAGATGTTCATTTAATTTTGGGACGATTAACCATAATAAAAAACAGTGACAACAATAATTACCGTTGCTTCCTCCGGGGATTGCCGTCGCTTGAGAAGCTGATGATCCGGCCGCTACTCCAGGAGCTGATGACCCCGCTGCTAGTGCTACAGGAGCTGTTACTGTTAACAAAACAAAATTAGAAAAGATGAATAATATAACACCATTCTTATTTCCTTAGCGTATTTTGTCATGATAAATACTACTATAAAGATTCAAGGCAACAATTATTAATTAAAACTAAAATGTTCATTTAATTCATGCATGATTTACCATTTGAAAATAAACAGTGACAACAATAATTACCATTGCTTCCTCCTGGGATTGAAGTCGCTTGAGGAGCTAACGATCCTGGAGCTGATGATCCCGCTGCTGATGATACAGGAGCTGTTACTATTTACAAAACAAAATTAGAAAAGATAAATAAATTAACGCCATTCTTATTTCCTGAGCTAATTTTGTATCATTATCCAGATTGAGGGCAATGAAATTGAGTTAACCAACAACAAACTAAATGAATTAAAACATAGACTCTTTGTACAGTATAATATAAGTTGGTTACCAAATTATCTTCAACACTTAATATTATTTCATTAACAAAAATAAATTAATCTAATTAATTTATAAAGAATGAAAGATGATACCTACCTTCAGCTTCATCATGTTCAAGATTAGTCCCTGACAAAATCCCCTTGTCTTTAGCCTCATCCATTGCACTTGCTGGCTCCTCTGACTCTGTGTTTGCCATCTACAAATATAAAATAAAACATTAAAATCAATCAAAGAAATGTTCACATAACGTTCATTTCCGAAACAAAACATGTAATGTAATATTGTCATAATAATAAGTAATGCCTCCGGCCCCTTTGTTAGCGAAGGCACAATTATTTTTGAGAAGAAAAAAAAATTGATTATTTATAATTACTGTCTAGGGTAGTCTACTTAATGTAGTTCGGTCGAACTTGAAAATTGATTGTAATTTTGAGTACTTTTATAACAATTTTTAAAATTAGGGTCTACAATAAGTTATGTAACTGATTATCCAGTTCAAGAAGTAACAATCAGTGAAATATTTGAACAGAAACATTTGGTTAGAATAACAAATAGATCTAGACTAACATTAATATGCACATTCATTGACAGTGATTTAGTTTTCAGCCGGGTTTTCAGACAGGTGGAGGAGGTAAATAAATGAGAAATGGATCAATAAAGAAGTTCCACACAATAAATAAAATATGTTATCAACGAGAATCTTGCGCAAAGAACATAGATTTCACATTATTTATGATCAGAAAACTGCTAGGGAGTACAGAGAATCGTGGAGAAATGCAACTATAAACTCAAGCAAACGTAACATTCAACGTATGGGACTAGAGTGAGTTCACACAAGTTGCGCAAGAATAAAATCCGGAGGCCTCAATTCCGTCCTTAAAATTGTCTTATTCTTTTAAAAGTGGCATTTTGTAATGTTTATATGACCAAACATACATACCATGTAATATTTTGTCTCCAAAATAACCAAAAAGTCACAAGATCAACATTTTATCCGATTTGTTTCAAGAATTTTCCGTCAAAAATTTATCGTTGTTGTGGTAAATACCATTTTTTCACACAGGTAACTATCGCATTTATCTGGATTTTTTCCCGAACCGAACTTTAAATAAAAATATAGAAATGTGCTTTAAATGTTACCAAACATAATCAAAGTCCTTAATTATCTACTAGAACTAGTTTAAACTCGTGGAATTTCGCTTAAAAACGTAAATATTTACGTATTTGTCATATTGTTGAATTTAACACCCCCACCCGAAAAATGGACCTGCCCATGTGTCTGTGCAAGCTCAAGCGGTCTTCGCACAGCTCGCTCACGACGAAGCTCAAATTCGATCGTTTATTTTCATGAATCGGGCCTTAATAATTGTTTTTTCCGCTCTTCAAATTTGATAAAACATCGACAATGAATACATTTTCTGAATCAGCAGACTCTATATTTTCATACTCACCATCCTAAGTTGGATGCAGATTACGGGAAAATGATGAAATCGTAGCTTTTAAAACTTCATGGCATTGTTTCGTCAGTTCTCCTTGCACTACAAACACTTAGGTTATATCAGCACGGAGGGCACTTTCTCGGCTTCAATCGGGTATGTTCGGATTTTATTTGTCAACAAATACTAAGAGCGGGGGAGAGACGAAAGGAGGCGAAGTCTTAACGATGTTTTCCGAAAAGTACGATATTGCGGTGCCTTCGCAACGCTCCGTGATTTTTAGAGCGAAGTTGTGTGTGGCTACGGAGTTTACGTAATAATCGAAAGACACACAGAGAATACTACACTTTCGCTCTCTCGATCGCCCAGTGCGAACTCATGACGTCATCACTCTGAAACCCCTATCAATAGGCAGCTTTCATGAATCGTAACATTAGATAACACTACTTGGCAAATAATTATTTATCGTCACATTGAAACATGATTCTGGTAAAATTGCAAATAAACACGATTAAAGAAGAAAATATGAATGCAAGTACTACTTTTCTTCACAAATAGTTACATTTAAAGCAGTTTTTATGTGAAATTATTGGTGGTCGGAAGCAGTGTTTTTACATCAGGAGTGGTGGGCCTAAATCCCCCGTGAAGATCGGGCCCGCTCAGTGCCGACCACCGGAGCTAGAACACTGGTGTGTGGTAGTCTTACTTTCAATCAGCGGCGACCTTGGCAAACGTGAATAATTTTTGTTTAACCGAACAACGTCCGGTTTTGACTAGCGGTTAAACGGAATTGGAAATATCCGTAATGTTACAACACCATGAACACTAGACTAGTACATTTATTGGCACTAATGTACCTTTGCACCGGGAGGTATGTACGTGTGCTTCATTCCCTCACACACAAGTTACGTGTAGAGTCTACATGGAGTGGGAAAGACCATGGGAAACCAATGGCAATGGCATGTATTGAATGACAAATGCCGGGTGGTTGAGTTGTGCTGTGCTGCCTGTGCGACCATGGCAATGCACAAAATTAATACAGGTTTAGTTTAGAACAAGGCCAAGGGTCCATTTATTTATCAATATTGTAAAATCCTTGAAGAGTGTAAAAATAAATGATTTGAATGGATTGTAATATTTGAACGGAATCTTGTGCTAGCATTAGCAAAGCCATCAAAGGCGAATAAGTTGCTGGCAAACATCATACGCGAAGCTTCGCCACGCTACGCGCCACCGACGCGCCACGCCTCCAGGTGCGGCGGAGCTGAGCTCCCTCAAACAAAGCCTCAACCGTCGCGGACCGGCAACTTCCTTTACTTTCTAACGTACTACTACTTACCCTTGACAGTTGTCAGTAAAACTATTATTAGAAGCTCCATGTACTCTTATGGCTATTTGAACTGCTTTTAACTGTCTCCTAAATTCACCATATAAAACTGGATCTTTCATTTCTCTTCGTTTCAGTTCTGTCCTTTCAAATCAGAATCACGGATCTCACACGAGTTCTCCTATGAAATAGGGTGTCATTGACTAAACAAATAAAATAGGAAAATAAATATAATACCCCTCGCTAAAAATAAATCTAAAGCTCTTTTTTCCTCGTGTAAACCATCCAAATATATATATATATATATCCTGAAGTCTGAACGATGTAAACTCGAAAATATATTGAACAGAATGATGGTTTTCATTTAAATTGACAACATATCTTTAATTTAATTTTTGATACCGGTATGTTGCCAATCAATTTATTTCCATTAATTCATCTAAAATTATTTCTTAATCGGTTCCAGTGAATTAAGACTTACCTTAAGAATTTAGAATACCCCGTGAATTCGAGCACACAACTAACTCTCTCTCTCTCTCTCTCTCTCTCTCTCTCTCTCTCTCTCTATCTCTCCCTGTTCCCTATCTCTAGCTCTCTCTCTCTCTCCGCCATATCCCCCTCTCCCTCTTAACGATCTCTCTCTCTCTCTCTCTCTCTCTCTCTCTTTCTCTCTGTCTTTATTTATATATATCATCATAATCATTCTCTATATTTCACCTCCATTCTCTCTGTCTCTGTTTCCTCTCCACCCCCCCCCCCCCACCATCTCCTTCCCTTAATGTCTGTCCCAATCCATTTCTCTTTCTCATGATATCATGGTGTGTGTTTTTGTAATATCTTCCAAGTTATGCTGATAACATTTACGAAGTTATGTACGGACTGGCGGCAGGGGGTTCGAGGTTTCGAACACTCCCGCGAGTATGATATAATTACATGTATAGAGAGCACATATCCTTTAAAGGACAAATTGAAATATCTAGCAAAGACTAATACTTTAAAGATACTATGTCCCTTTTGCAGCCAACATCAATTTCTGTAGAACTTTGCAGGAATTATGAATATGTCATTTATGTCCTATCTGTGAAATTTAAACTTTAGCAGTGTCCTTATATTCAAATTATGCAAGGAAACCCGTTTACTTGCTAGCAGTGGCGGATCCAGGGGGGGGGGCCCCGGGGGGCCCGGGCCCCCCCCCCCCCCTTGAGAAAAAAATCATGTAAAATCACGTGATTTTTACCTTTTTGGGGGGTTGGGCCCCCCCCCCCCCTGGCGCTCAAGGGGGGGGTGCAAATTGAAATTTTTTTGAGGATCAAAAAAAAAAAAAATGTGCTCACTACCCCCCCCCCCCCCCCCCCCCCCCCCCCCCCCCCCCCCCCCCCCCACTGAGCGAATTTTTGGCCGGCGCGTTTTTCAAATTTTCGAGAGCAAAAAAAAAAAAAAAAAAAATTGTGTTCTGTACCCCCCCCCCCCCCCCCACTGAGCGACTTTTCGGCCGGCGCGATTTTCAAATTTTCGGGAGCAAAAAAAAAAAAAAGTTGGGCCCCCTCCCCTAAGAAATCCTGGATCCGCGCCTGCTTGCTAGACTTCACTGTCAGACACTATTGAGTAACTGACTGGCTTTTTGTTCTTCTTTGGTATAAATAACATACATAAAATGAGCTGTAAAGGGTACATGAGCATTTGTCTTCATCAATAACCCACTTCTTGTAATGGCCAAAATTAACTGATTGAATCTTTGCGCAGCATAAACGTACGGCCATTCGGTACAATGGTCTGAGAAATCAGAATATTACTTACTGGCTCTATAGCTCTTAAGTCGATTCGACAATTAATAGTCGTTATTTTCCCACTTAAAGACATTTTCAAGCACCCCTTTTTTAAGGGAAGTTCTAAATTAGTATTATCTTTCAAATGTTGTTGGAATTTAACCTTTTCATTTTGTTGGCCTGCAAATGGGACATAGTACCTTTAAAGAATTTTGTTCAAGAAATAAAGAAATACTTATTTTAATGCGAATAGTAGCTAGCATGACTATAATTGTTAAAACAATTTCAGGAGCACATCCCTTTAATACAGTTATATCGTTCGTGTTTCCGGGTAAAAATAATGTCCTAAATTTTCCTGCAGGTCAGAGGGAAATCCCTCTCACTCCATAACTATCTTTTGTAAGTTCGTTCCGAAAAGGAAAAAGATTGCTAGTTTTCAGTTTCTCAAACGGTCATATTAATAGACAAAGAAAGAAAACAAGTGCCCTTTGTGTTACTTTCATAAAACTTGTCATCAATTAATAACAAGTTAGAATAACTGTAATGAGCTACTGAAAATCCTGACATATGATTAGCTGAGAGCAAATAATAAATAGAAATTTAGCATTTGTCATTGTTTTGAATTGAATTGAATTTATTTCTACATTTGCATTAAAAATACAGGAACACAGTTATATACAAAATAAAAGCATAACAAGTAAACAAACATCAAATACATGCAAATTAAGAAGATAAAAGGACAAATTTACACGACTTGAAAAACATACAATGTAAATATGGCGGGATAAAACAAAATCATGTAAACCATAATTATGTCCATGATCCCGTAATGTTTAGAAGCATTTATACAGTCTAAAGACAACATAAAACACACCAAGCAATAACACAATACATCGATATTAAGGCATGAATGTTATTGCATTCACTGTATTGATAACAAGTTTTGTGAATCAGGGCCCAATTCAGTTACTTAAAAAGTGCAACACAGTTTTGATTATGTTAAAAAATACTCAAATTGGACGGGGACACTCCATCCTCCTTTTTTCTCGCTCGGTACACCCATAGTTGTGACCTTTTCGTTTAAACTGTGAGAAAGACAGGTATATATTAATGTTGCTGTAATACAATATAATATTCCTTTGACACAGCGTTTTACACTGACAAGTTGAACTACAATACAACAATGTGAAAGTATGCGTGAAGTATTAAAAATGCTGTTGAAAACAAGCAAATTTTGTTGCGACTGGCATCATTTACAGAAATGTACATAAAATATAAACATGTATTAAGCATTAAACTATTACATTGTCATGTTCAACGTGTTTGCTGACGACGTGTTCGATGGCGAGAATTTCTATATTTTCAGAGATCGGTATTCTTGAGGAAATCTCATTGACACCGAGAGATTTAAGATTAATTTTTGTAAAACAGCCAATGAGACAATGAGAAAAAAACTTAATTTTAGGTCGAACTATCAATATAAATCCTCGTGTTATGTTCCAAATCGTTGCCTACAGGAAAATTCTTGGTTAAAGAGATTTAATGGACGTGGATTTTTGGTTATCTTTAAGAGATTCACTTCACCATAAATACGTACACGACTTACCGGCGCACACTACACGATCCGATTTTTGAAGAAATGGCAATTATATTAGTAATGGAAATGTAAACAAAGAACGTTTTACTGATTTCGATTGTAAATAATGATAAGAATACTATTTGAACAACAATCAATTCAGTGCTTTTAAGCATTTTAGTCACAATTAATTCCGAAACGGCTTTAAATCGTAGACAATCGTGATACTGGTATGACGTCACTAAGATTCTGAGACGATTGACCTTTTCCTCCGTCAAGTAGGCTTGAAATTCCCTAAAAATTAAATTGTATTAATTACATGAATAAGCAGATCCTCTATCATTAAGATTTAACATGTTGGAATGTTCATATAAAAGTGCTGCTGTAAATACTTCCAAAATCAGATCGCAGTCAGATCGTGTAGTGTGCGCTAATACAGTTACAGTCATGGTGATTGCAATCATCATTTTGAAAGAAACAGCCGATACAAGTACTATAAAGATTTGCATACGACTATGTCATAAAGCCGTCATAGTCTATGATTGCCAGATATCTTACCGATTTTCTAACATATTTTAATTTCAATGTATACCTTTAACAGAAACAAGAACAACAATATCAACAACAACAATGCTAATGGCGACGGTGATGATGATGATGATGATAACAAAAATAATAATAATGACAATAGTAAGCAAATAACTACCGTTGGTGAAGGTGATGGGACAAACTATCACTTCCGAGGCGATCTGGATGTAGCTATCTTTCCGAAGCGAAGCTGAGGAAAGATATATGCGTATACACTCTGATCGACGAGGAAGTGATAGTTTGCCATCGCCTGAAACCAAAAGGTGATTATTTGCTTTATATTCCACATCTAAAACAATTTAACTACAAAAAGAAAAGGACGTGTATATGCATCTACATAAAAGACACCTAGGCCCAAATTCTCACCAAAAAAGTTAAAAGTTTAACCCAACCCCTTGAGGGTACGGTGCGCGCATGTGTTTGCTTTAATTGCGCTCATTGGTAATGCGCGCTTAACTACGCCTGTTTTAGTGCGCTTTTGGATAATCTTCAGTGAAAGTGCGATGCACTGTGTAGATAGTACCTCTATCTTCAGTGAAAGTGCGTTGCACCGTGTAGATAGTAGAACTATCTACACAGTGTAACAAACTTTTTGCTTCTCCCATCAATAATGGGCGAACTATCTTTCATCACGTGATTTACTTTTGACCAATCGTAGAGCAAGATTCTTAGTATGTGGAATATAATAATAATTATTAATGATAACGGTGATAATGATACTGATGATAGTGATTAAGAAAATTAAGAAGATTATGATGATAATGGTATAATAGTAAGAATATAAGTAGCGCGATTACTACTACTTATACTACTACGACTACCACTACAACTATTACTACTACTACTACTACTACTACTACTACTTCTACTACTACTACTACAGCTACTACTACTAACTACTACTACTTCTACTACTACTACTACTACTACTACTACTACTAATAATAATAATAATCAATGTCTCTCCTCACCATTCCACATATCAAAACTAAATTCTACGGGTCTCGCTCTTTGCAGGTCACATCGGCCGAACTTTGGAATAAACTACCGGAAAATCTAAAAAAAATTGTGGTACTGTTGACAATTTTAAGACGCGTCTTAAAACAATGTTAACGAGAGGAAGTATGCTTAGCATACCTCTCTGTTTTTATGTTACTCTATCCACCTTTCCTTCTTACTCTTTCTTACAGCGCAAAGAGACATATTGTGATATGCGCTATATATACGGTTTATTATTATTAATTATTATTACTACTACATTCATTACTGATAACAATCACATGTATTTCTAGATTCCTACATGACTGCTACTCGTTTGGGATCAAGTCATTCGTCCTTAGATTAATGGTAAGATTTTTGGTCAATTCAACCCAGAAATATTGTTGTCCTATTACGTTCTCAGTCCAGTGAATATAGGGTCTGCCATCACTGAGATACAACCTCGCCAAGAATGGCATTTCATCATCTGGGATGTCTTCGAGGAAAACCACGACTACGAATTCAGTCAAAGTGTCACTCACGTGGTCCATGGTCGTACGGAACTTGAGTATGAACCAGTGGTCGCGCACAGCAGCTCTGCTAAGCACTATGATGGTCTTGTAACTATGGCTCACCACGTAATCGACAGAATCTAAGTAATGCATACCCAATACAAGGTCTTCGTCACCGAAGACGTTCCTCTGAAACTGTGGAAGCCGTTCTTCGAGGGCCGGTCTGAGCTGTTCGCGAATCCATTCTTCGTCATCGTCGTAGAAAATGATGGTCACGTCAAACTCGTAGTCATTGTGATCTCGAGCGTCTCGCATCTCTTTATAGCCCAGTACGGCCAGTTTCAAGAGAAATAGTTTGTACCTCAACTGCCATCGGTAGTGGTACAACAGCACGCTGATTACAACCAAGCTAATGGAGGCGAGGGGAATCAGAGAGAATAGACCATAGTTTATTATACAGAGTTCATTTGGTTCAAAATCAAGCAGGGGTTTCTGACGGAGAGGCTCCAGAGATGCTGACGAACAGATAGTCTTGTCCTTTTCTTTCAGGCGTATATGTTCATTTAACCAATCAATAAGCCACTTTAGATCACAGTTACAATCAATTGGATTCTTTGATAGATCAAGTGATGAAATAGAGGAAAAGATCGGCTTGAAAGTGCTTTGGTTAAGGCGCGTTAATCTGTTGTTGGCCAAGGAAAGAATTGTGAGCTTCCGGTTATTTGAGAACATTAGCTCCTCTAAGTACTCGATACGGTTTCCTTCAAAGTTGATACTTTGTATATGACCCAACCCCGACAATACATCAACATGAATATGTAGGATGTTGTTTACTTTTAAACTCAACTTCTGAAGCGATTCCAACCCCGAGAAGACAAGAGGATGTAGATTTGTAATATCGCAGTCATCCAGATTTAGCTCTTGTAAAACAGCGAGTTGACCAAATATCCCTGGCGGTAGCTCACTTCCCAAACTCAGATAACGGTTACCACTCAAGTCTAAATGAATAAGATCCAATAATCCATCGAAAAGAGACGCGTTTATATTATAATTCCATAAGTTCCCCATGTAAAGATGGGAGTCTTTTATGTCTAAATTAACAAGGGATTGTAAATGTTGAAAAGATTTTCCTGGTTGCAAAGGAAGCAAGTTAAATGTTCGAAGAGAGTTTAGGGAAAGTGATCTTAATATTGGGATTTTCAATTCCAGAACAGTAATTTTACTTCCGGTCAAATCAATGATTTGAATATTGTCAAGTCCCGAAAAGGCTGTCAGCTCAAAGACAGAAAGGTATTCGTTCATGCTCATGTCTAAGACAGTTAAATTTCCTAAACCACGAAATACAGATGCGGATATTTCTGTAAACAGATTACCGGATAAGTCAAACTCCGATATGTCCACTGTCCAAGTCTGATTGTGAGGATTTATTTGTCTTACTCGGTTGTCGTGGATTGTCAGTACCTTTAATGCATTCATGCCTTCGAAAAAATCTGGTTGAATTTCGTCTATGGGGAGTTGGTTATATCTGAATCTGAGTTCTCTGAGTTTTGTCAAATTTGAGAAGACTAAAGGACGGAGGCTTTGCAGTTCGTTGTTGAAGAAGTCTAGAACAGAGAGGGATGAGTCACGTAGAGGATCAAAGAAACCTTTAGGAAACGCACCAATGGAGCCTTCTAGGATTGTAAGCTGTTCGATGTCTGATCTTGAGATTCCGAGGATGATGTTCGCCCACACTTTGTCACTCAAAGGGTAGCCACCTAGATACAGAGAGCGAACATGTAGTGATGCGATCACACCAGGGTCTACTGATTGGATATGGTTATATCTAAGATCTAGAGTAACGGTGTGGCACGAAAAGGTGAAATCGCTCGCCGTAAGGTGTTGTAGTAGATTACCAGTCAGGAGTACACTGTCGACCATTCCACAAGAACTTACATTGATAAAGGAAAGCTGGTTGGAGGTCAGATCAGCAACATCTAGATTTGGAATCCATTTTAGAATGTCATTGGGGAGCGACTCCAAGTTTAATGATGCTAATACGAGAATGGAAAGACGTGAAGACATCATAAAGACGCCTGTAGCTGGAAGCACAAGACGCGAGTTAGCGGATAGGTCCAGGTCCATTAAGCCCTTGAGGGGGTAAAAAGTGGCGGATTCTATCGTTCTTACATCGTTATAAGAAATGTCCAATGTGTTGATTAGAGGGTATACTTCAAACGAGGAGTTCAAGAGTTTGGTGATATTGTTCTTAAATAAGTCAAGCACCTCGGTATCCTCAGAAAGATTCTGGGGAACCGTGTCCAGGTCTTTATTGCTGCAAGAAGCTTCTTTCAGTTCAAGGTTCTGATCACATCCATGGAAAGATTTGTCCATGCCCAGTGTTAAGAATGGCATCTCCGAATCTCCATCGTGTCGATGTAAAGATTGGAAGGACGAGCTGACGAGGAGACAAACGACGAGCAATGGGTACAAGATTGAGCCGTTTGCCATGACGTCAATATATCACCTCTGAGAAGGAAAGGTACTCCCTTGTCGGAATATATCGATCTTGATTATATTATGATAACACACTCATATAATATAAGCGTAAACAAATTTGTATCCTTTGCTGCAGACGGTCAGCCTCATTTTGAGCTATGAAAACACGCTCGGATCTTTTTTCCATAACAAATTGTGGTTATCATATATATTTTTAATTAGTAATGAAAACTGAAATATAGGTTCGGGAAACAATAATCATGAACGTTTTCAGACGAAACCGAAAGTCATATTTCATTCTTGGATACACAACTATAAACATTAACCAGTAATAAATCAAGCGCGAAATCATGAGTTATTCTAACGATTATGTAGAGAACACAAAGGGAAATATTTGATATCAAATGGATGTTAAACTTAACGACACTAAACTTACGTGGGCGGAATAAAAGGCATACTAGTCTACTCACAAGTCGCTCATTCCCGTGTAATTTTGACAATTAAAGCCTGAAACTCTTTATACAAAAATCATACAGAAATATCAATATCATTACACGCTCTTTTCTATTTCCAGGTATGTTGAAACATTTCTAAAGTAGGCGTTCTCCTCTTACGCTCGTATGACCTACCTGATCATGCCGATGAAGGGGAAGAAAGAATATAGTTGTGATATGATTGGGGTATTATCCATAAATATTATCGGATAACTATCTCTATCAATCACCCCCCCCCCCCCCCCCTCAAAAAAAAATTCAGCCTTTATCTAAGGCAAATGGTTAAAGCGACAATTAAATAATTAACAGGAAATCATAACGCAAGAATTCCCTTCATATTCATGTAAAAGGCTGGCCCATTTCATGCACGATATTAAAGTATACATATCGTCGACTAGTATAATATTAGGGTGATCGCACTGCCTGTGCAAACAGTCTGCCCCGCGAACACACACACACAACAGCAGTCAGTTGGTAGAAAAAGCATTTTTTGTAAATGTATTTAAAAAAAACTAAACAATATTTTTAAATTTTTATTTCACATATATTTCAAGCATACCTAATTTAACTACAATTCTGTGTAGTTTCATTGTTATAGGCATGTGGGAAATATGTTAATTATTGAATTAGAATATTGTCTTTTCAGCCATGTGTGACATGGCCCGCTGATCGCCCATTGACTCGCGCTGCTATTCTGCGTGGTGAAAAAATTGCACCTCAATGTATAAAACTCCCCTACAAACATGCAATATTCCCATGTGTTTCACTCATTGAATCAATTTGTTATTTACACTCAAGGTAGCCACAACTGTACTGGGATCACCAAATTTTGTTTTTTTCTGAAATTCAGTCCCTGTGGAATGTTATGGCCTGTTGAAGTGGAATGTTGTGGCCTGTTGAATGGTTTCTCGGAAAATCGTCATAAATCCTCAAATCTGACATTTTTTGAAGAAAAAAAACATATACTGTAATGTAGCTGAAAGTCTACAAATTCTTATCATATGATCGGTTTTTCTGAATAATTTGTTAATGGGGAAATAGCTGTGACGGTGATCCAAGTAATTTCCATCGCCATATTGTATTGGCATTGCAAAAATATTAGGAATTAAAGGTAAATATTTGGTGTAAATATTATGATCTATGAATATATGATTTAAAAAATGCCCCAAAAATGAACAGTTTGACTTTCCTAATTTGCATAATGAGTGCGCGAATATATAATTAGCTGAAATGACCTAATTTGCATATTTGATGAATATTCATGATTTTATTTTATTTCAAATGAAATATATTTCCATACCTGTCTGATATACGTAGGTTTCACTGATGTATCATGTTCGGTTTTGATTTGATTACATATGCGCATATTAATTCGGCGGACTTAGTTATTTTCACAACTTTTTTATATCTGCAGATTCGCAAAAATGGCAAAAATGACTTATTTTGTTGGCTTCTGTTTTCAAAACGGTAATAGATATATGTATTTTCTTTTTTGTATTTTTTACCACAAAGATGATATTTTAGTGTCTGATAATTTAATTCATTATTTGTGTCCCAGAAAGTGATGAATTAAGTTGTCAACTTTGTCGAATTATGCCATTTTTGACACCATTTCTGGCAGGTTTTTCGGTAATTTTGCGATTTCAAAAAAATGGTATAAAATCACAACGCATTGACCGATTTCAATTCTGTTTTTTTGTTTTTTGAAGCTTTCATAAAGCTTGATCATTTTCAATCATCAAATAACATGTGTTTGTTGTAATTATTTTTGGTGTGCTATACCTAATAATATACATTATTGTCCACATATTGAGAAGCTGCTGCGATACTTTAACGATACAACTCTAAAAACTGTTACACAAGTTATCCTGCTATTGCAAAGTATTGATCTGCCAAAATGAAATTATATTTATCACAGATATTAATCATATAAACGATTGATGTAAGACATCATAAGGACAGAGCGCAATAAGAAGGTTTCTGATGGCAAGGCCGAAATGACGTCATCTTGAAAATTAGAATTTTAAAAGGTTACTCTGCCCAACAAGTACGTGTTTGGTAGCTAACTGCGCTCTCAGCTTGTAGTAGTGTTTAGTACACACGACGAAGGACGTGCTCTGATTGGCCGTCTTAATGATCACGTGGTTAAGCTGGCACCAATGATAGGCGAGCTACGATACGCCGTGGTTTACAATGCTAGGTGTATTCATTCACAGACTAAGATTCGGAGTGAGAGCCGAATGGCGACGAAGGATATTAATAGGTACAGCCCATAGATAATGCAGCCCACGAAAACTCAAGGCGCCTATGAAGTACATGTACGTGTACTGCTATAATAATTGTATTATATAAAATTATTGTATTTTATTGTATTGTAATGATGATAATAATAATGATAATACTAATAATAATATTGATAATAATCATAATGATATTGATAATAATTATAATAATATAAAGAATAATGATAATAAATGAGAGTTGTAAGAAGCCAATTTGTATTGTCTTTGTTTTGTATTGTATTGCATTGTATGTTGTATTAACAGAACGCAGTAATATGCCTATCTAACCTTCGCATTGTAGAGCTCGATCGTTAAAACACCATCTCCCATTCTATATTACTATAAAACTAATTATCTTTATGAGATTGATCCGAAATGACAACAAATGGTTGGCCTTCCAGTTTGTCGGTCCGATGACAATTAATAAATTGTTACTGAGGTGCCATCATGCAGCCTATTTACACGTTTCAGTAAATTGGAAATTAATGTGCATATTATTGGTTTGGAGTTGGCAAATGATAATTCTTTCAGTATCAAATCTGACCTTGAAAAGCTTAATGTTAAAACCAAGCATTGTAGCATGGATAAGTGTACTAATAATAATGGTTACGGCTTAATAGAACTTTGTAAAAGTCTTGATATAAAAATTGTAAATGGAAGGTTTGGAAGTGATGATGGTATTGGGAACTATACTTGTCATACCGCAAAAGGGTCCAGTGTAGTAGATTATGTTCTTGTTTCATCAATATTTATGCCCAAGATAACTAACTTTCATGTAGATGTGTTGGATAAATGCTAGTCTGATGCCCACAGTGCTGTCGCTGTTCAATTTTGTTTTAACACAAATAATCGGGTCACCATAAATCATGTTGATAATACGCAACGTGATGAACCGGTAAACCAATCTGATGTCACATTTAAATCTCTTAAAACTCTGTGGAATAATGACCTTAAGGTTGTTTATAAAAATGAGTTCAATGTTAATGAGATGGAGACTATTGATGAAAAACTTAGCGACCTAGACTGTAATTCTGTTACTCAGTGTGAATTGGATAGTATTGTAGATGATTTAAACAATTTATGCATTGATACTGCCAAATCTCTTGGTATGTGTAAAGAGGTAATGAATATCCATAAGTCTCGTAATGTCAACAATTCCAGTCCTTCAAAGAATAAACCTTGGTTCGATAAGTCATGTGACCTGAAGAGGAAAGAGTACTTAAAGGATAAGCATAAACTGAAAAGAGTGAATACCGATGAAGCAAAATCAGCATTGAGGGGTAAAGCCAAGGAGTATAAGAAATTTATCAGAAAGGCTTTTAGAGACTATAACAGAGACTTACATGTATCTATGCGTAATTTGAGAAGCAATAATCCGAAGGAGTATTGGAATATTCTGAATAAAGCATCTAATTCAGCTGAAAAGTCTGGTAATATTTCACTTGACGAGTACATGAGGCATTTTGAAACCTTAAGCACCAAGCCTAAAAATTCGAATATTGAAGTTGAGGCCGAGTTTTATCCTACAACTATAAACCATTCTACTAATGAGTATATTAATGGAGCATTTACTGAAAAGGAAGTTATAACCATTATTAAGAAACTGCGTAACAATAAGGCATATGGCGTTGACAATATTATTAATGAATACTTGAAAAACTGTCCAGCTATGTTAGTTTCACTTATTGTTAAAGTGTTTAATATTGTATTGTCATCTGGTTTAGTGCCCTCCGTGTGGTGTATGGGTATGATTAAACCATTGTATAAAAAGAAAGGCTCGCTGGACGATCCTGATTATTATAGGGGTATCACACTTCTAAGTTGTGTAGGAAAATTGTTTACTGCCTGTATAAATGCAAGGCTAACTGGATATTTGGATTGTTTGGAATAATTGGTGAGGAACAAGCTGGATTTAGAGGAAGTTATAGCACAATGGATCATATTTTTACTTTACATGGTTTAATTGATTTACATCTGCATCGTCATAAGAGAATTTATTTTGCTTTTATAGATTACAGAAAAGCATTTGACGTAATTGATAGGTCTTGCCTTTGGTCTAAACTAATTTCGAATGGCATCAGTGGTAATGTCATCCGTGTTATTTATAACATGTATAAAAATGCCAAGTCCTGTATTAAGCATGGTCGCAATTTATCTAATTCTTTTGCATGTAATATTGGAGTTAGACAAGGAGAAAATTTATCGCCTTTATTGTTTGCTATGTATTTAAATGACT